TGGCAGGCTGCCACCCCCCCCCCTCCGCCCCCCCCTCCCACCCCCCGGGAGAAGTGTGCATGGGAGGCAGGCAGAGCAGCTGGGCTGCGCTGAGTTTTGCCTTGGGGAACCCTTATACCCTTATCCCATGACATGGAAGTGGTGGTTGTAATAAAACGTTGCCATTTTCTATTATGCAGCATCCAATCACCGTCCAACCCCCTCCCACCCCCCGGGAGAAGTGTGCATGGGAGGCAGGCAGAGCAGCTGGGCTGCGCTGAGTTTTGCCTTGGGGGATAGGAGAACCCTTATCCCATGACATGGAAGTGGTGGTTGTAATAAAACGTTGCCATTTTCTATTATGCAGCATCCAAAGAAGAAATCACCGTCCACTTCTGGAACGGCAGAACAGCCACAGTGCCTCGGGGCGGGGCCTGGGGGGTGCCCCCTGCTGTCTGGAAGAAGGCTGTGGAGCGGCTGCACTGGCCTGTCACCAGCAGGCCCCCCACTACCCTCCTCTGGGCCCCTTGCTGCTCTCTGCTGGGGCCGGGCACTGGATATGTCACCCACGGGCTTCCACTGGGCACCCCGTTCCTGTGCCCTCCCTGCCACCCCCGCGCCTGCTGCCAGCTGCTGTGCCAGGGCTGTCCCGGCTGCTGCCCTTTGGCTGGACCCACCTGGTGGCCTCTCACCAGGACCTCGGGGGCCAAGGCCGGAGAACAACCAGAGGCGGAGCTAAAGCCCAAGGTGCAGCCTCTGCCCCTAGAGGCTCCCAAAAAGGAGAAAGTGGCCATGCAGGCTCCCATGGCTGTTTCTTCTTCCTCCTCCTCCTCCTCTGAAGAGGATTTGGAGAAAGATCTGGAGGCGGGCCTCCCTCAGAGGCTGGTGGTAGACAGCACAGTCACGTCCGACCCCGTTCTTCCTGAGAAGACTCGGAGGAGGCAGGCGGGCCCGGACCAGCCCGAGTGGAGGTATTGGAGGAGGAACGGGCCTGAGCCGCTTCCTGGGAAGCCAGGTACACCTTCTTCTGACGCAGGGCCGATGCCCTTGCTCCTTCCCTCCCACGGGTCTCTTAGGAATCTGAGCCGCGTGACCACTAAGCTGGGGTTGGAAGTAAAACTTAGGAGAGTGGTCATGTTGAAGGGGAGTCTGTGGTGAGAGGGAAAGGGTAAGGTTTCCATTTAAGCAGTAAAGCCCAGTATGAAAGGCCGGGCTGATTTTTATGCAAAGGTTTGCATCCCTATTGAACAACTAAAGGTTTGCATCCCTGTTGAACAACTGTCCTTCTTAGTCTCTCTGGACAGGGCATTGCCATTGTCTGTTTTTACTGCTCCCTCTCACCCCCCTTTGTCCTTGGAGGCCTTGATTTTTCTCCAGATGAATAGTCAAATGCCTGCAGGTGTTGATCAGTCTTCAACGCCCTGAGAAGCAGAGAAACTATTTTTTGAACATTGGTCATCGGACCCTCCCCTCCGGAGGGCCCTTCAGTAAGTCAGAAGCAGGACACTGCATGATGCGGCTCGTTCTCTCCCACTCAAGGGAGGCAGTGCTCTTGCTGGCAATCCGCAGCCAGCCCCAGGCCTCCTCATCTTGAGCTGGGAAGGGGCTCTCCTTCGAGTATGGGGTCACTTGCTGCTCCGGGAAAGGTAATTCTTGGAGCTGAGCCATGAGAATCAGTGGACCTGTGTTCTGCCAGGGCCCAGTCCTGCACCCAAAGCTGTGGAGTGTAGGCCTGAGGTGGGGTGTGGAGAAAGGGGCATCCCCAGCCCTAGGCACAGACAGGGTACTACATACCACAACTAACTAAACGGTGTGTGCCCAACACCAGAGCTTTTCCTTCTCCCTCCAGACTTTGTATTCTTTAAAGGAAATGTACAGTTTTGTCTCTCACAGACAGGGTACTACATACCACAACTAACTAAACGGGGTGTGCCCAACAGAGCTCTTCCTTCTCCCTCCAGACTGTATTCTTTAAAGGAAATGTACAGTTTTGTCTCCTAACTGTGCCTGGTAGCCATCAATACTGATGCTGACAGTCAGTCTTAGGCTCCGCCTCAGGATCTGCCTCTTACCAATCCTCCTGTATGGGTCCCTCCGCCCTCCACACGTGTTACTTTCAGGTACAGGCAGTGAGGTTCCTGTTTAATCCTAACCTAGCGATCCTGGAAAGGCCAGACTGTTGGCTGCCGGCAGCCACATTGCTCTCCTCCCTTGCTTGTGGTTAAAAAACAGGATTCAATCTGTAGTTTTAAAAGTCAGGAGGGGATGGATTTCTTTTCAAGTATCCCTTCCTTTTTAGATATGGCCCTTTTCCTCAGGAAGTCCCAGGCCCCGCCCCATTCAACCTCTGAACTTTTCCCCATCAGCTTAGGATCTCCTCTTTGTGATCAGTGTGATTGATAAGCTCCTTCAGCTGGTGGTGATTGGTTACCTTTGCTTCCCGCCACAACATTAGTAACAAAGAAACAGAATTTCCGGAGGATGAGGCCCAGAAATCAGGATTTTAAAAAGATTCCCATGTGATTCTAATGTGCAGCCAAGGTTGAGAACCACTGCCCTACTGGCTGTTCTGAAAAATTGGTTTGATAACTTCTACGCAATGCCAAACCTGGTGATCAGATACAACCTTCCTCAAAAACATAATGGCCAGAAATAATTAAGAAAATCTATTTCTTCTTTAAATATAGAGAACCGTGCTAGGAGCTTATAGGTAGTGAAGAGATCCTTTGATCCTTGGCAGAGTTGTACTCTAGTCTCCGGACTCATCCCATCAGAACGGTGGCCTATTCAGCACACCTCATTGAATTTTGGGTTTAGGCAAAAGATGCCGCAGCATCCAGAAAGAAGAGAAGGGCCACAGGCAGCAGGGAGCACAAATGGCAGTAGTGGGGAATACCAAGGAGCTGGTCCTGGAAGCAGCCAACGCAAAGCCTCTACAGACCCTGCCAGACACAGCGGAACACAGGAAACTGAGTCAGAGGACCACTGTGATTCATCAGAGACACCGGAAGGCCTTCGACTAAAAGCCCTGAGGATCTAGGTAAAGCAGCATGGCGGGGAAGGGGCTGCTTCCTTTCTTGTGTGTGTTTTGTTGTTTTGTTTTCAGTTGACATTCAATATTATATTAGTTTCAGGTATACAGCACAGTGGTTAGACAATTATATAATTTCCGAAGTGACCCCCCCCAATATGTCTAGTACTCACTGGCACCATACATAGTTATTACAATATTATTGTCTATATTCCCTATGCTGTACTTTATGTCCCCATGACTATTTTGTAACTATCTTGTTTGCACTTCTTAATTCCTTGGGAAGGGGCTTCTTAAGGACTCCTTCCAAGGTTCTTTGACCTCTTGGGGTCACATCCCCTTTCAAAATAAAAACCATGGCTCCCCTTTCCAGAAAAATGCACATACCCACAATTTAAAAAAATGTTTTTATTGATTTTAGAGAAAGGGAGAGGGAGAGAGAGAGGCACATTGATGTGAGAGAGAAATATCAATTGGTTGCCTCCTGTATGCATCCCAACCAGGGATTGAACCTGCAATCTGGGTATGTGCCCTGACCAGGAATCAAACGGTTAACCTTTCAGTGCATGGGACGACACTCAACCAAGCCACACTGGCCAGGGTGCCCAGAATTATTATATATGAGAGGGATATGCTAGTTAGCCCACATATGCTAATTAGTCACAACCAGTATGCAAGTTGACCATCACTCCAACACACAAGATAGCCGCCCCCATGTGGCCACAAGATGGCCTGCAGGGGAGGGTAGTGGGCGACCGGCCCTGCAGGGGAGGGCAGTTGGGGGCAATTGGGCTGGCAGGGGAGTGGTTAGGGGCAATCAGGCAAGTGATTGGGAGCCAGCAGTCCTGGATTGTGAGAGGGATGTCCGACTGCCCATTTAGGCCTGATCTCAGGGATTGGGACTAAATGGGCAGTCGGACATCCCTCTCGGGGTCCCAGATTGGAGAGGGTGCAGGCTGGGCTGAGGGACACCTCCCACCCAGTGCACAAATTTCGTGCACTGGGCCTCTAATTTTGCATACAATTTCAAAAGGCTTACAGAACCTACAAAGGACATTATAAACTTCTTGGGGGTGCAAGGATCTCCATTTAAATGACCCCTTATTTGGTGATGGGCATGGGTCTGCTTTCCTAAGCCCCATGTCCCTGTGAGTCTGTTTCTCACTAGGAATGCTAACATAGCTCTACTTAAAATTTCGATTCATCACATAAAATGCTGGCATTTTTTCTGAGGAAAGACATGTTCAAAATGAGATGAATAATTAAACTGAAAGGTGCAATAATACTTTTGGTGTGGTCGCTTAGAGGTTAAGGACACATCTATGACTCTTTAAAATCAGTGACTTTTGATCCTTAAAATTACAGTCAGCATACGACCCTCAGGATTCTTTCTCTTATAGGAAGCAAAGGAGAGTGAATACCTGAGGAAGAGTTACAAAGTGGCTGGCACAGCCTTCAGTGGTAGAGTGCAGGCCACAGATGGCAGTCGCATAAGCAGCAGCATCTTCACCCCTTTAAGACTTCCCTGCAGACGGGCACAGGAAGGCACCTGTCCTAAGAGCCACAGGAGTGCTGCCGGCCCGGCCAGGTCTCCCTGCCTGGTGAGATGAGCGTGAGAATGCTGTTCCACAGAAGTCACAGGTCGTGGTCAGCCTGTTTTGGGCAAGTGTATCCACAGCCTCTCTGCCATCTTTTCATAAAGCCTACAGTTGTACATGAATGACATTTTGTTGCTCTTAATACCAATAAAAAGGAATTCTCTTTATTTACAAATCTCTCCTTTTATTATCATAATTATCCTTTAGTTGGAAAGCAAGCAGTAAAAACTATTCAGACAGCATCATTATTACTTTTAGGCAGAAGAGGGTAAGAGGTTAAAAACTTTTGAGGTTAAAATAGGCACTGAAAGAGACAAGCTTCAGGTCTCAGGAAGGCCAGCCTTAAGAGCAGGATTAATGTATAAATATTAACAGAATCATATGGTGGCTTTATTCTCCTTGCTACTTAAAAAAAGGCAACGTGATGGTCTGCATCAGATGGGGAAAACCAAGTCCACACTTTGTCCTGAATCAACAACCACCACGTGAGTCTTCTTGGTTAAGTCATTTGCACCCACAGTGACAGAATAGGTCCCTGGATATACTTCTATGTAGAGGTCCTTAGAGATGTTCTCATCCTGGAAGGAAAGAGGATATTAGTGGGTTAGAGATTTTATATCCCAATGCCCAGGCACCTCCACCAGGCTTCCTTTGTGTGCCAGAGGCCAGATGGAAGAAAGCATTCCTGTGGGAGATGGAGGTTCCATTTTCAAGTCTCAGCCACATAGTAGGACTATCCTTTAGGTAAGTCTCAGTGTCTCCTTAGGCTTGTTTCCTTTTTCTAAGACTTTGGTAATACCTACCTCACATGTGAGAACACTGTAGATGCTCAAGTGTTCTAGGAACATGAGTCATAAAAGGAACACTAGCTGGAGTAGAAAGATAAGAATTGGGTAGAGGAAAAGACTAAGGACATTGTTTTGGGGATCAAAAGCAGACAGTGGCACTTGTCACAGATGAGCAGCAATGGCAAGGCACCTTGGAGTGATGAGAATCATTCTTTTTTTTTTTTTTATTGATTTTTCAGAGAGAGGAAGGGAGAGCGATAGAGGGTTAGAAACATCAATGAGAGAGAAACATCGATCAGCTGCCTCTTGCACACCTCCCACTGGGGATGTGCCCGCAACCAAGGCACATGCCCTTGGCCGAAATCGACCCCGGGACCTTTCAGTCCGCAGGCCGACGCTCTATCCACTGAGCCAAACCGGTCAGGGCAAGAATCATTCTTTTTCATTATTAGGACAGTGAGACATTTCCTTTCTCCTAAAGCTGGGGATACTACGAGTAGATTCCTTCCTGTCATGCAGCAAGTCAGTTGGTTGGCAGAGCCCTCCCTGGACAGACTGGTTCTCCCTGGTGCAAGAACCCTGGAGGCTGGAGTAAAGGGAAAGCTTTATGTTTAGAGCTGAGCTGAGCACAAACCTCCAATGATAGACTTCATGCAAGGCGGGGAAGTGGGTCAGGGCAGGTGTGCAGGCAGCGGGGTCTTAGCTCAGAACAGAGTCGTCATTAAGAGCCCGGCTCCTATTCCTCAGCTGGGATGCCACTCATGCTCACTCAGTGCTCAGAAGGAGCCGCAGGCAGAGCTGTCATTCTCCCCACCACACTCGGTGGGGGAAACCAAGCCCTGGCCAGCAGATTCCACTAGGAGGATAAGGATAATTTGTATACTTCCTCCCCCTCCACATGACAGACAGATCTGAAGCCAATTTTTTCCAAAGCTGCTTTATGTTATATCCTTTCATGTTTACCCCAGTTACTGCAAAACCAGGGGCCTAGAATCATTTAACTGATGTGAATGTATGGGACAACACCACAACTATTTATTGGTTATCAACTATGTAAATAAAAGTAGGTTTCAGAAAATACAGCTATATCAGAACTGCAGAAAGCCAAGGATGCCTCGTTTGTCTGGATAAAAGGAAATCAGGGGTAAGATCAGCATCTGTGCTTCCCACACCGTGAACATCTGGAAGATTAGAGTTACCAAAAGCCAGCAGGTTTTGGAGGCATCTAAGCCTAACTGCTTGCATTTGTACTAGCAGAATATGCGTAGTTGCTAAACTCTAGTATATTCTGAATCCTGGCTAGCACACTGTAGACAAACAAAAACTAAGCAAATGATGGCAGCAAAATGCTGGAGTTCCTTCCCTCAGAATTCCAGCCCTGGCCAGTTCCAGATTTCCTGAGTTTATAAACTAATGAGCACTTTATCCTAAAAATGAGAAACCCATCCCTATATGTTTTTACAGAGAAACATTAGTGGAAAATAGGAACAAGTCCCTTCAAATCTTTTGGAACCCGATCTAACCAAGTGTGTATGTTTCAGAACTGTAGCGATGGTATTCACTTTGTAAGCAGAGGGGTCAGGCCGCTCCTGCTGCTCCAACAGATGGTGGAATTCCAGCAGGACCCGCCAGCCCAGCTGAGCTGTAGGAACTGAGATGTGAATACTTCGCATTCTTTTCAACCACAACTATGAGTCCAGGCACAGAGCACCCCTGAAGCTTCCAGTGGGGGAAGGATACCAAGGAAACATTTGACACTGAACCACAATGTGTGCACTCCCCACAAGGATAAAAACATCCCAACGTGAAAATACTGTGGGCCCTGCACAAAGAGCTCTCGAGTCACCAGGTCAACTGGTTCATGAAATGGTCGTGTGGGGAGGCCAGAGGGGACACCAGGAGCTCCGTACTCACAGGCTGGGGTGCCTCGAGCGTACACTCTGTGGCTGGACAGACGCCTCCAAAACCCAGGGGCGTTTCTTGTCTCTGGAGAAACAAACAGAAACATCAGTGCCCAGGCTCTGACTTCTGGATAATAAAGAGAAATCTTCTCCTACCTTATGAGGAACTAACCATTGTTCCATCCATTTTTCTAAGTTGTCACCTAAATTATTAAGGCTTTTAGTGAATTCTGTGGGGGCATTTTTAGATGTTCACCATGATTATTTTTTATCTTCCTTGGGCTGTGGAGTCAGATAAACCTGAGTTTGAGTCCTATGTCTGCTCTTTGCTGAGAAGGGCAGAATAATTTATCTCAGCCTTGCTTTCCTCATCAATAACATGGGGGCACTAGATTGCAAGGAAGATTTAAAGTGTAGAAGTGCCTGACACTTAACAGGTTCTCAGAAAATAGACTATTTACTGCTTGTCTTGGGAGTGGGGGCGCTAGTAGGGAACAGGTTGACCTGATAAAGTCAATTTCTCACATTTATAGGAAAGAATGGGAGGGATAGGGATGACTCTCGCTCACATATGACCCCCTTATCGTCAGGCCAGAAAAGGGGAGCCAGCGTGCGGGCTGTGGTGTTACTCCTCATATCCCAGGCCGGGAAACAAGAGGGACTTCCAGCGTGCATCCAGCTCTCACTCGTATCCCTGTGGCCACGCTTCCATTCTTTCCCTGAACCCACCGGTCAGGGAAGTCAGAGATCCAACTGTGGATTGGACTCTGGATTTAAGTTCAGTATCTTTGAGTACAACTAGGAGTTTAAAAACAAAAACAAAACCATCTACTCTCCTCAAAAACAACAACGAAGGATTTCTGTTGAATCAGTTTCACAAGTAGAATATTCGTCTCTCCCAGAATGACGTGTGGAAAAAACAAGCAAGTTTGTAGTGAGAGGCCTGTGATATTATCTTTAGGAAAAGTATTTTGTTACAGAGGCGTCCTCTTTGCACTTTCTTTTTTAAAGTTACCAAAGACATGATAGGTGTCACTAGCTTAAGAGTATAAAATATGTGCTCATGAAAAATCTCTTTCCTATCCCTAGATGTAGAAGAGGATATCTGAAGCTCTTCTCATTAACCTGCCTAAGAATCCCGTGGCCCAGGATTGCAGTTTCATCAGAAGATCCCACGGTGGCATCAGTCTTATATTTTGGACATGTTCATGGCTGTAAGTTCTCCAAGACTGGGGTTTGAAACATTTCTGTTGAGCACTGTAATGCTGAGTCACACAGGCATCCAATAATATAGATACAGCAGGAGCTCCCAGACCTGGGGTCTCCCACCTTGGGAGGCTGGGTGCACAGCACAAGACATGAGGATACACACCTGGCCATTCCCGAGGTCCGAGCACAAGTGCAGCTGCGACTTCCCTCTGTGATAACGATAGACGTGGGTTGCCCCTCCTTCCTCTGGCACAGATGAATAATATTTCTGGAGAAGTAACGTGAAAGATGTTGGGTAACCAAATAGATAAATTTTCAAAAAACTGTTACTTGGGCAAAATATGGTTAAGAAGGGAGACAAAAGAGCAAAGATAAGTTACCTGCCTGCTTGACAGGCATCTGAGGTCATCTAACAAATCTTAGCCTGTGTAAGTGGCTGCAGAGAAGGAAACTGCGTTTGGCATCACTTTGCTGCCATCTGCTGCCTCTGTCGGGCAAGAGCTCTGGCCAACTAAAGCTGGGCAGGGCCATGCTCTCTGCCAGCTTAAATAATTTTATCTGCGCCCCCAAGTCAAATACACATGCCCTTTCACCTCCTCTCATGACAAGTTCTAATGAACAGTTCTGTGTTTACTGTCTAAGTCTCAGACAAGGATGAGGGAAGAGAGGGGTGCATCGCCTCGAGATGTGGAAATACAATAGGAAATGTAACATAAACCCAAGAGCTATGCAGTCAGTTCTCCCCTGTGGAGGAAAGGAGGGTGAGGTCTTCAATTTAAGGAGGATAATCCAAAGGATCAGAAAGCCATTACATTTTTCTTGTCTACTTCCTTTCCCCCCTTGAAATTAACCTTAGATGTTAATCCTGTCAATTTCTATTACAAAGGTTAGGGCGTTTCTTATCTCCATTCCAGGGAGTAAAGATTATGTAGCTTAACTACCCGCCTGGCACTTAATTAAGGGGTTGTATCCCCTCCCTAACCTCAGGGAAAAATCCCTACCTGGGGAAACAACCTTTCTCGGAGAGGTGACCTTGGTTAAAACACATGGCGCTTAAGGAGAGCAAACATATTAAGAACAATATGCTATATATGCCAGGTCCCTTGAAACATATGCTGTGCAGATGTTTCTTTCCTGCAGCAACTGTGTCAAGCAGCAAGGATGGACCGGCTTCCGGCACCCCCCTTGAAATTAACCTTAGATGTGCCCCTGATTGTGACTAATGATGAGGACATCGCTGGCCTGCTTGTTGTGAACACAGTGTAGGGT